CCACCTTTATTTATATATTTAATAATATAACTGAATATAGAAGTAACATAGAATTGTATTACCTAGCTTTTAAGTATAAATCCCACTTTTACTGTCATTCATTTAGTAATTATTATTTAACAAAGTTAGTCAAATCTAGTACACTTTTGTTCAGACAGGCAGTTAACAAAAACGGTACAAATGTAGTCGTGTACCATGACGAGTGACGAGTGCGGAGTGGGTAACGCAGCAGTACCTAGTGTATACCGTAAAGTAACACACCCGTCAGTAATTATATGCGAGTGAATTAATAGAGCGATGACTCGTACTGTACAATTACATTAACGTATTACTCCGTGTGGTGACGCAGTAAGAAAACAACGTGACGTCCATGAAATCCCGGTTATGAAAAGGAGCGACGCGGGATGCTACTGGGGTGTTATTTAATGGATGATAATGGAGTGGTGTTTTCGCCTGCGGTAAAGGTTTACACTGGTGGAGCATCATTGGAGGAGCATAAGATAAGATCAGGTCAGTTAGCCCATCGCAGCAAATTCAATAAGAATTTACCAGAATGGTGTCCAGGGGGAACCGCGTGTCTAGTTCATGAAGTGTTGAAGCTAGATAATTTGTCCACTGTGCTGTACTGTACTCTGTAAATAGGAACGTTCGACTATATTAAAAAGTGCCTCGAATTCCAGAAACTAAAATTACTCTGCAATTTCAATGCTTACTCTTCAACTAAAACATACTCGTAGTTTTCAAAGAAAGTTAAAAGAAAAAGCTGAAGACAGCTAAAATATGTGTGAGAGATACCGATACAGACCTTGAACAAAGTCTATATCGGCAAACTCTTCGGCTATTATTTTCATTTATATGTAACTTGTAATTTTCTACCGCAGGTCTCAGTCATCCTGTATTCTATTTCAAATTAATCTGGAAAAACAAGTAAATAGGTATAAGCGGAATAACATCATCTAGTATTCCGAGCAATAAGATATGCATAATATCTCGGGCTATCATTACTTCGGCACGTTCCAATGTTTGCCTCTATTTTGTGTGGTGTTTGTCATAAGCGATTATGTTTATAATCAAATTTTCAGCTTACACTAGACTCACCACAAATAAAACAAACTTATGTTTATAACCTCAAAGTTAAACTAAAATTTAGATTTAGATGTTATAACGACTAAAGAGTCAATTTAGTAGATGAAGCTGAAGTAGGTATCTGATGTTGACAGGAACACACACACTACAGAAGCTCGCTATTATCATTTTAGAATATATACCTCTATTACAACTCATTTCTGCAACGAATTTTCTTGCAAATTGGCTTTCAATACTAACTTGCAGTGTAATTTATCTTATCTTTATATTCAGCATTTGAAGTCAGATTTCCTGTCGCACTATAATCAATTGAGACGTTTGTTATAGTAATACGTATCAATTATTATATTTATTTATGTATAAATTGTAAATGATTAGTCTCAGGCGTGTTTATGTCTATAATGCTTTTCATATCTACATCTAATCGACTCAGATTATCACTTTTCGCAATATAAAAATGTAGGCTTTTTGTCAAAAAAAGTATATAAAAATTCTTTCATCGATTACTTCATGTAATTGTATAGGAGAGAGAGAGAGAGAAAAGAGATTTAGTTAGTTAATTCCTGAATCACTACACTGACTGCCTAACTAAATAGCAAAGACATTATTATTAATTCTCATATAAAATCTTATAATTTTACAGTTACAATTGCTAACCATACAACTTAACTAGCTCGCTTCTCAAACTCTTAAATAGTTCATAGAAAATCGCAAATCAACCAATTTGAAACCGTTACAATTGATAATTACTAATAACATTGTTGGATAATTAGGGTTCTGGGCGAAGGCGGAACGTTCTAATAGTTATAAAACCGCGTCCGCTAAGCTTATAACTTGGCCCCTCGTCACGCCTCCAGCAATACTCGAGCATCATGCATCGGTGTGTTAATAAAGCACACATAAATATGAGCAATTGAGAACTAGGTATTGTATTTCAAAATTAACAACCGTTTTCAGACCGCAACCAACTGCAATTTATCGAGCGCTGTGATGTAAATTAACTAATAAAATTGTTGAAATAACTTCTATGCGTGATGTCGGTCATTTGCTTGTGGCTAATGAAATTTTATCTCCTTCTTAATTAATGCCGTTCTCAGTAGTGAAAAGAATTTTTCGTTTATTACAGCAGTGATTTTCTCTGGTGTTGTTCCGGTAATTCTTTAAATTTAAAAAGCTGACACTAAACTGAATAACAAAACTTAAAGAAAAACATATGTTATTATTTTTTATAGCAATATATGCCAGTGCATAAATTTTGACCATAATGTAATACATTTCAATTGAAGTTAAAATTCACTTAACTGTGATTAAAATCGTTATTATATCTATAAGAGGACGTAATCACATCCCAAGGTAGTCTCTACCTACAAAGTCATTTACATGGGTACCTACAAGTAACTGTTTGTTACTGTTTCATGCAAAAACTATAGAATTGAATTTAATGAAATTAATTACAATGTTTTTTTAAATAATATTAGTATAAAGTAGCTGTGCCCGCGGTTTTACCCACATAAAATTTATAGTCTATGAAATATCGTAATTAATTTAAAAAATACTAACCCCCGATACATACTCTACGGTAGCTGTCTCAAAAATTAAATAAATACATATTAAGATACATTAATGATTATGAACATGTATGTATACGTACTAATAATTAATGCCTCTTTTATTGCCAGTTATAAAATGTATTAGAATTTATATATCACGATACGCGGAATGTAAATACGGAAGCGAAACTTGTATGTCACGAATCTAAACTAGTTTCTATCGTAGACAATAAATCTAATCACTGTGTCATTTATTAGACCTATGTATGTATACAAATGATTATAATGTATACATATGCACAAGTCACCTATTGTATACTTCCATGACAGGTCTAGTGTGTGTTACATTTACTTGCACGGAGATATGACGTCATATCGTTAAAAAGTAAGGAGGTTATTACATTATAAAATATATGGGATCAAGGTTAGCTTATTCTATGAAGATATTAGCGTCTTTCTGATACTTAGCCCATGTGACTATGATGTAATTGATATATAGATATATATATAGAGAGATAAGAAGTAGCCTTTGTCCATCTGAATCCCTGGTGCTATCTATATGCAAAATTTCATGATTATTAGTTAAGTAGTAAAAGCGGAACAAACAAACTGTCTTTGTTTATAATATTAGTTCGGATTTATAGCATAGATTTATGACAATTATAATTTTATAATAGTAAAATAGTTAACCTGCTCGTAATGTTGATATGATTTATACCACAAAGTCAAAGTAATAAATTTGACGATACTATATAACGCACTATCTCATCTTTTATTAGTAACGAATTATGGCACACACAGTGGTTTATATTATACTACTACCCGTCCCGGCTTCGCACAGGTATACATGTATTATACATACAATCCATGCTCTTGAATCATCCATGCTCTATCTATTACTAAAAACTGCATTCAAATCCGTTGCGTAATTGAAAATATCAAAGTGAACTTTATTTTACACTATGTAAAGAATATATTATTTTTAAATTGAACTTCGTTAAATTGTATATTAATTATAATTAATTACATATTAATATATGTGAAACAAAAACTTAATCCAGACGGAGAACAATTATGAGTTAATTTTACTCACTTAAAAGTCATATAAAGAAGGAATGCTAATACCTTACTAATATTATAAACCTGAATGTTTGTGAGTATGAATGGATGTTTGTTAATCATTCACGCAAAAACTACTGAACGCATTTTGATGAAACGTCACAGTAATATAGCTTATATATCAGAATAACATATAAGCTATAATTTAAAAACATATTATGTAAATTGGGCCAAATATAACGATAAATGTCAAGTAAGTGTAATGCAGACGAAGCTGCATGGGATAGCTAGTTTATTATAGTACTTAAATATATGTTCTTACTTTTTATTTTTATTTTATTGTAGTTGATAAAGGTACCTTATCAATATTCAAATTTAAAATTATAATGTATCACGTGCATAGGTTTTGAATATACAGTAGAATTCCAAACACTAGTGAAAATAGTATAAAAAAAAAAGGAATAAATTAATTTGTGGTGCCACAGATAACAAAATATTAAATAGTGGTGCTAACCAACTGGTACTGTTCAATAAAGTCATACAAAAGTCCACCCACAAAACGTTCACGCATGCGTAAGTATACTATTTGCATATTCCCTAGACGTTGAAGTGGTCACTTTGTCCGTCGAGTAAGGAAATTTATTGATCCAGGCAACCCCTTGGACATTATGTAGTACGTACTATAAACCTTCAGCGCGGAAAAGAATATTGACCACCAAAAAATTTCAACTCATTGAATTCAGTTTATTCATATATAAAGTTTTCTCATATAAAACTAATAATAGTATGGATATAAATCCATATAAAAAGATCTCAATATTTTTCAACTTTTTATATAATATCATAATTATCTACAATGGAAACATTATATTACGCTTTGGCAACTCGCCTAATGTGAACTTATTAAATACAATAAAATATTTAAGTATCAGTTGTCATAGATTGTAGATTGTCGAGCCTAGATGGCGTTGTGCGAATAATCTATATTATTAATACAACACCTACTGCTTGTCCTTTTCTTTATATTTTTTCTTATTTTTCTATTTACTTTTAATTAAATAAAAATTTCTACAGCTACTGTCATAAAGAAACTAAAACAGTTAGGATAATATTAGCTAAAACCAACGTAGGTTTTAGCTTCCGTACAAAAACCAACTATTACTTGGTTGTAGTTTTTATGAATAAAGCAGTTAAATTCAACAAATTAAATTAAAAGCAGAACGGAATTAATTATAAAAGTAAATTAAAATTACGTCAGACGAATTGCAAAAACAGCGTCGGTGATGAAATTATATTTTGTTACAGATACGGACAGCGGAGTGTCGTGACCGAGTGTCGAACTGAACTGTGACGTGTCGTGAACTGTGACGTGACGTGACCGAGTGTGGTGTTAGTGAATTATGACGTGACAAAACTACAGCCATGTACCGGCCGAATTTCTACGAAAGCACCTGCTTTCGGTGTAACGAGATTGTGTACCAAGTGGACAGAGTGGGACCGCTGAAGGATTTCACGTTCTTCCACAGTGGTTGCTTCAAATGTGCCGTGTGTGGGACGAAGTTGACTTTAAAGGTGAGTTTTTATGGATAATAATGGAATGGTGCGCCTGTGCTAACGATTTACGCTGGCAGGGTACTAGTGGAGACTGATAAGATGAGTATTAGGTTAGTTAGCCTCTCGCAATAAATTCACCATGAATTTATCACGATGGTTTTCAGGAGGAACCACGTGGAGGTCAATCTGACATGATACATTGGTGTTATTAATTACTAATAATTAATAACACCAATTACTAATAATACCCTCGCTTGCTTATTTTTGTATGTTTGTACATTTAAATATATATATCTGTACATAATAGTGTATGTAATGGTTTTTTTTTCTGTGAAAAGAACAATAAAGAATTTTTATTTCGTTTACTATACAGTTAAGAAAAACTTAAACTTCTGTATCACTACACTGATTTGTGAAATTCTTTCATTGTTTGAAACATACATTGTGACAGAGTAATATATCCAAGCTTGAGCATATATTATGTTAATATGAACAAAACTGTACACGAGTTTTGTGGGCGGGCGGGTTTTCCGCTTACTTCTATACCACGCATCGGATATTGATGGTGTTGTCTCTGTTTTTTACAGAATTTCATCCGGAATTTATTTACATAGATAATATACGTGGGTTACTAGTGTGATAAAATAAAAAAAGAGATGAAATAACGTTGCTCGTTTCGTTAGAGTTAATTACGTACATATTTTACTGTCATCATTGACTTATTGAAATAATAGACGAATCAAGCAGTCTGGGACGTAATCAGGTCAGTACGCAATTATGTCTCAAACGTTGACCTATTTTTTAATATCTTGTTAAGATGGACTCACATAAATTAATTTAGTGTGGAAGTGTATATTGTTTTCAATAATTACTGTTATTTTTACAAATACCTATTATTCGAAATAGAAATAATCTTATTCGAATAAACTTAATAATAGCACTAGCCATATTTTTTTGATACTACAACTCATTCGGAACGCAGACTCGTCACAAGACGTATTGCTATGTTTACATTCAGCCGCTTCCCCTGCCACTCGCGCTGCCGAAAATGTTGCCGGGCGACAACTGAGCGAGAGGGCTGAATGTAAAAGCACGCTGCCACTCGCGCTGCCAGTCCTTTGGCTCGCGCACGATAAACCGACAATGGAGGGAGCGCCGGGCAGCGCGAGTGGCAGCGCCAATGGCATGAGAAGTGTACCCACTGTTTACACTCTCGCGCTGCTAACTTCCCTACCCACTCGGGCTGAGTGTAAATTGGGCAATATATGACAAAGAATCTTGCGTGGTGCTCTTTTAAACAAATATTGTTCAGCATTAATTTTTAAGATTTTATGTGAATACAAACAAACAAACACATACTGCTAATTAGCCAAATTTCTGTGGATACAGTAGGTAATAAGTATTTTTTTATTGTATTTGTTCTGAAGTAGATATATATACGAATACATATACAAAGTCGTCTCGAGTGGAGTCATCGCTCACACCTATTTCTGCCGACAAGCACTTTGCTTTGTAAACTGTGTTTCTGTTGAAGTGTTATATAGCAGTGAAATTACAAGATACGAAATAATATGACATGTTAGTCCTCCGGAATGAGGGAGACCACGGACGTTACACAATGACCCTGTGTCAGCAATACAGGCAGTTTGCCATCCAGTTATATAAAAATATCTTTATAAAATTTATAATAAAATAAGAATTCATTGAAAATCATGATTAGTTATTAAAATAAAAAGCTTGCTTTATAAATGTTACAAGTTTTACGATAATATACAAGGTCGTTGAAAATGCCGACTATCGAAGGTCGTGAGGATACGTACCAAGGCCGCCAGGGTCCCAACATAGGCAGTGATACCAGTTTGGTTATTTCCCTATAAATTTGGAGGATTATGTGGCTATGTGAGGAAGAAATGTAGGTATGGGGTGGTTTGAGGAGGGAAGAAATTAAGATGGCGGGTTGTAGGGGAATTTGACGTCCATATAGACCTAAAAATAGGAACACAAATATTCTGGCTAACAAGAAATGTGAAATAGATGGCCTAAAAACAATTATCAATTTCATAAACTGTAAAATAATTTCAGATGGAAACTAAAAAAAACATCAGTTTAGCGAACCGCAACTATAAAAAAAAGAACGAGCGATCAATAATAACAAAGGTCACCATGAACACAGAATATTAACTTCTTCTTTATTACGGAGAATTTTCTGCAAAACAAACATTTTGTGAACAAAATTTTGGAAAATTCCAGATCAACTGGCAACACTTGTCTTATCTGCAATTGCCACTATATTAAATCTTGGTTCCATATTATGATATTTAAACTTCTTATCTATAGAGCATTGTTACTAAATCTTTCTGTTATAAAGCTGTCATTATAATTTATGAAATCATAAGGAAGATTAAACCTGCGTACACGTAAGATTGACTTTTGATTAACTCGGTATTTTAATGGATCAGATTACATAAAGATATAAAATGTATTTTTATGTGTACTATACAAAAATTCAAAATGTTGACTTAAATGTTTGTAGATATTCATTATTAAGGAATTGTTTTAATGATATATAAGATAAATTCACGTCATTATAAACTATGTATTAATTAACATTTAAAGCCCATAAATAATGTAATACTTGTTATTCACGATTCATGATTACTTTAGACACCATCATATATGAGCCTGGATTCCTAAGAAATCTCCGATATAGTTCAGGATACAGTTTCGTACAAATTTTGTTTTATAATAAATGCTATTGTTATATATTTATGTTAAAATTTGTGGGGGTAATAAAGGAATATTCATGTTCATATTTAATGTTCCTAGTAAGTGTATTTTATTAGTTGTTTATATTGTAGTTACAATTTTCCTTTTTATTCTATTAGAAGTGGAGAAATAATGAACATTTTACAACTAATAAAATATTTATTTATTTATTAAAACTTAATGCACAAATATAAAAATAAAGGTGCATATGGCGGACTTTATACTATATTTTTAATCAACACTATGTAGCCGCCAAAGAACCTACCTGTATTTCTGCTGTCAGATTATACGAAAGAAAGAATCGACAGATTAGCCGAGGTACGAACCTGTACAGGCTATACACATATACGAGGTACGAACCTGTACAGGCTATATACAGATTAAAGTTGTATTCGTCAGGGGTACCTTCTGCGGGTTTGGAATGCCCTCTGCACTCGCCCTTTTTTCGTCCGGAGAAGCTGCAATGGCCCATCACGGCCAACATTAAACAACAATAGTTAAAAAAGTCGACATAAAATAAACAACAGATGACCTACTAATGTTTAACAGTTACATATTATGTCTTTTACAGTAAAAGCCATTAAATTTAATGAATAATTTAATTAAAAAGTGTTCACATGAGTCATATCTCTACATCTGATCCGTGACTAGGTGATTCACTTTTATTTATATTTGAACTGTATAATGAAGTCTGTTTCTCTGTTTATTCAGTGGCTTTTGCCTATATATTTATTTATAATATTCCATTGGTTTAACATGAGTCATACTATACTCAAAATTGACACAATCTATAAAATATACTACTTTACTTATAAAAAACTAAAACCTGCAAGAAAGCAATTTTTACTGTAGGATGGTTTTTTATATTACTTCTTTTCTGTGTCTGTTTATTTAATGGTTTTTGTTTTGTTTGTTTTAATATTCAATTTGTTTAATATGAGTCATTCTATATTAAAAATTAACACACTCTTTTCTAGATTTTTTTATGATCAATTTAGATCATAAAAAAATCTAGAATAAAACTCTGCAAGAAATAAATTTCTACTGTTAGAATGGTTGTTTTATAATAAAAAATACATAAAATATACCGTCACGCCTGTTACCTAAAATGGAGTGGTTAGAGACATTGCCAGTTGTCGACGTCGTGGTGGCTACTGCGTGATCATGGCGGCTGTAGTATCGGGAACTGAATAAGAATAAAACGTGGTAATATCCCGTAATTTTTTATTAATTATACGGTAATACTGTAATTACAATAGAATTAATAAATTCCATATATTCTATACTTACAACACCCATTAATTTAAATTAAATTAAAAAATAACTTATGCACATCACATTGTCGAGAATTAACTGGGCATATCAGTGACATTATTAAGTTAAGCCTATTCAGTGATTACCATCGTAACTTGGTCTCTCATGACATTATCATTCTGACTACAAATATTGAATAACTAATGGCTCAGATTATAATGGAACATAATTAAATAACAATGAATTACATTCAAATCAATCCATTGTACATAATGTTACCGAGTAAAGGGGAACCAATTATTGTCGGTAATGAAATAGAGAGAGAAAGACTGTTTTAAACTTTTTCACGGTTATTTACAATTGTATACATTATATAAACGATATATATTATTAAATACTATTGGTCGCCCAGTGATCAAAATTGGACCATAATAAAATAGAATTATAGTAGGTATTCTATAATTTTGGCGACTTGTACACGTTACAAATATTTATGTAGATAATATAAAAAATAACGAGCGGCGCAAGACCGATCGTCGTGGAGATCTTTGGGGGAGGCCTTTGTTCAGCAGTGGACAGAACAGTCTTCCAGGCTGAAATGATGATGATGATGATAATATAAAAAGAAAGAAAATACTGCTGACCAGTATATTAACTAACGATTCTCTAAACGAGACGAAATAAAATTGTACAAAAACAGAACTGTAAAAAACACTTAAGTATGGAATAATTTTGATTGGTCAGTTACAAGATTTTAAATCGGTCGAGACATAATTTGGGTCCTAAATATGATCATCATATAACATAATAGGCTGGATACATTATTGTGATTGATACAGAGTAAATGTATTTGTACATTTGATACAATTATGTTATTATTTACCTATTATTATGACTAAGATGCCAAGGTCTTCTATGCTCGTACAAATACAGGCTTATAAAACGTATTTATTATACCGCAACTATAATTTTGGGTTATTAGGTATTATTATTGAAGATAATTACAATTCTGTGATGCAATGATAGTATGTATAGATATATGTGGTTATTATATTATTAAACATATGGGATCTTTGTTAGATCAATTTGTTAATTTATGATTTTTTTTTTTAATTTTAACTGTATTCGACCAATACTAGATTTTACCGTCATTTTAATCCGAAACCAACTTGTCAATCCGAAATCAATAGTCATATTAATATTATTACTTGAATGTTTGTGGGTATGGATGGATAGATAGATGGATGCATGTTTGTTACTCTTTCACGCAAAAACTACTGAATGGATTTTAATAAAACTTTACAGTAATATAGTTTACACATCAAAATAACATATAGGCTATAAATTTCATGCGGATAAAATCGCGGGCAGCGCTAGTAATATTATGAATTTAATTATGTTGATTGATATGAAATGTTATTGCATGTTGCTTATATGACAACATATATTTTCCAGACATACTACAACAATCAACACTGGACAGAGGATAAGGAGGTGTATTGCTCAAGCCATGTGCCCAAGATCGGCCCGGGTCATCTGGACAACTCGTCCGTTGGTATCCGGAGTGCGCTGAACGTCCCTAAAAGTAACAACTATGTCAACGAACAAATCAGGGGACTTGCTCGGAATAGTCACGATAATGAGTGTAAGTTGATATAATAATATTGTTTATTTTATGCTATCTATTGTCTAGATCAGGGGTGTCCAAACTTTGAAGCTGAATGAAATTGAAGTATTATAACTATATGTTTCAGGGGTCGACCCTGAAACATATCGGAGATCTGAATCAAAATCATGAAAAAGATCAACAAAATATAAAAATATACAAAACTGATTTTCAGCCTAATAGTACATTAATAAATATTATATATTAATGAAATAGTTATAATATTATATAATATATAAAATAAATTTATATATATATGTATTTATATATTTTTCTTTGAACTAATATAATTTTCAGAGAAACACATTTTAAAACTTTTTTGATCAAATATCAAATACGTAATTGTACGGTGACAGACATGAGTGACAATCAAATACATAATGAAAAATTTAACTGTAGAAATTAGTCCTCTGTTAACTGGATTCAATAATGTTATCTTATTCCAAGTATTAACTTTAGGAATGGTTTAAACCACGACCATTTAGACCACGTTTCGTCCGAGTTTTAACAGATTTTTTTGTAATAAGACCGCTTAAGTGTACTGTCATCTTAGGTCGCGTCGCGGGCCGGATTGAAGACGAAATCATTAATAACTATGTTACGAAAATCTTAACGTACATAATATAAGAGCCTACCGGATCGTATAATGTGTCCAGTCATTGGTGACGAAGGCCGCCAAATTTTTTAGTTGATTGTCGTACAATGCAAGCAAAGTGGGAGAGTAATCGAGTGGAACGTCACCTAGATATTTATATCCGATCGGTATTAGGTTTCAGTAATGTAAATGATGATGTGGAATATTCTGGAGTATCCATCTCATGATGACAGATGTAAAAGGACCACTTTTTCTTTTTTATGATATTATTAAAAAACAAAAAGTGGTCCATTGGGATGGTAAACAAGCTGAGAGCATAAAAGCGTCACGGCTATTACGTCAAAATGTACCCCTTATGCGTTACCATTCCAAGGGACTAAGATATTATGTCTCTGTACCCAGTAATTTCATTGCTATATACGAAATTCAATAGAAAACTTCCTCTGGTAAAGGTAAATAGGTAGAGGGGCGACCTTGTGATGATAATAAGTTCAATAAATCCAAACAACTTTGAACAGGTTTTGACAGTTTGCAGGATAGGTCTATATTCAGCTATAAATAATTAATGACTAAGAGCAATATCTATTTAGTATTCTGATTATAATACATATTAAAGCAACTACAAACATTTGGACATATTGGCGAACGTAAACCGAAAAACTCATGACAAATTATTGAACTATATAATCCAACTTGGTGCCCCTGCCCAAACGTCAAATTTATGATTACAAATATTTCTTACAAACTTCAATAAGATTATATTGATATAAAATCTTTTTACAGTTTTTCTAAAATTTAGAATTTCTATATTTAGAATGCCGTGAGTTCTCGAACGATTGGTTTTTGTTTTTGATGTTTATATTTTTGCAACACAAAATTAGTGTTGGTATAAATATTAAAGAACGATTTAATTTCAACTAGGTTGTCGTTACTATGTATACTCATTTTGACGAATTTATCTTTGAATATTATTTGTACATATCCGTCAGCCTTAACCAACATCAAACCTACAAGAATCCAGTCGGATTTCCGAAGAAGGCGCAGAAAGTTGGAATTCGACACACTTCGGCCGCATTCGGGCTAACGAAAGGGATATGTTGTAAGAGTGACAGAGAAGGGAGAACTTGTTGCAAAATAACCGGCAACATTCCACCGGCTAAAGCCCAGTGACCTAAAGCTCGGTGGGTTGGACCTGCGATTTGTAGTTTGGAATGTTTTGGTTACCATAGTAACTAGTAAGTTATCTGTGGTTTTGGCACGGCACTTAGGTACCAACCTTATGTGCCTCTATGGAATACTCCTCTATTTCGTTTGGCGCATAGTACCAGTGTACTTATAGTTAGTATTTTTTGTAATGTAATTGGAATAGCAAATATGGCTACGTCCCAAATAATGGTGAACGGTAATCGTCTTTATATACATGACTACTATCGCCGCTACAATACCACGAAAATAACCTTATCATGTGATATCCGTGATACCATTCATGCGTTTCCTTACTAGAGGACTGAGATGTCATAGCTCTTATCCTGTAAAATTTCTGCTTAATCTGCACTAGAAAAATGAAAAACAACTTACAAAACTAGCTGCTTGGCTGTTGAAACTTATCATCAGGTGGGCCGTTAGCTTGTTTGTTCATTTTAAATATCCAACTATATCAATTTTTCACAAAAAGTTAATATCTACCAAGTTCAGACAAAATTAATTATATATTTTATTATTAATCTCTCACGGAAAATAGTGTTAGAAATTTGATTTAGGTATATATATATATATATATATATATTTGTGTCTGTGGCATCGTAACTTCGAAACTATTTTTTTAGCTACAATGTAGTAAAGTTAGTTTTTATTTAGGGTTTACTTGAAATTATAATTTTATAATTATACTAATTAAGAGAGTTGTTTTAGCTTTATATATGTTGTAATATCAATGTGTTGCCTCACAGTGGATATCTAATATATTCCTACATACTCGAATATTTTACATTAGATTACTCTAGGAGCAGTAGTTGCGTGATCACTTCTTGCTATTTCATTACATTTTAATAGCAGAAAAACTCACTAATGAAATGTTTCTAATTTCAAATGTGTAGCTATTTGCAATAACTGAAGTATTTTTGCTGTATAAATGTATTTGTTGCTTACATATATCTTTAGAAACATTGTATTTGATATCTAGTTTTAAACTCTATTAATTATCAGGGCTGTTTTATATTGTTTTTAGAAAAAAATTTTTGTTCTACAATATTTAGTATATTATTTAATATGTAAAAATCCATTTTGTTGCATTATTTATTCATGTTTTATGCGTTTTTACATCGTACTTGTCATTATTATAAAATTTTATTGACTTATTGCTGTCGTACTGGAAAAAGTAATTAAAATAATATTTTTACATTTCTTGTATACCTGTTGCACCTGTGCACTTGCAATACAGTTAGAATTTTATGTGATTTCTAGTGTAGAAATATTAGTGGTAGCAAAAGTAGTATTAGTAATTTATTATTTTAGCAATATTCACCTCTGTTGCGGAAAGAACAGCGACCATTTGCTCTATTTTTTAGTCTTAACTTAACCAAAATTTTCAAACTACACATTGCCTTTGCTTCATAAAATAATTATAAATTTCTAGCTTAGACCCGGCAAACAGTGTTTTGCCATATAAATTATTTCTGTAACCCAGGGACACCCTTATCATCTAGGGACAAAAAAATAGGTTACCACCTATTCTCAACTTAAATCAAACCAAATATATAACAAAAATTTACTACCTAATCTATAATCTACTACCAACTCTAAAAATGCTTCAAAGTAAGCTTGGCGGCTGAAACTTATCGTCAGCTTGATCAATCCAGCTATATCAATTTCTTTACAAAAATAGGCTACGACCTATTCTCAACAAAAATTTCATTTTTATTTGAAAATCAAACCCTCCGAATGCAAAAACTGCGACGAGATTGTTTAAGTACTAGATTTACTTTTCGAATTAAAATATATATGTGTGCCTACAACTATTTTCTGTTATTTAAATGTCGTAACACAGCTGTTGATATAAAAACAGTATTGGTTGGTTTCGCCTACTTTGGGCAGGTTTACACACGGGTGTGTAACTTATGGGTACGTTGGTCATCGACACCATTCCATTGAATAATTACTCACAGGGAATTATCGACTGTAATCTTTACATCATTGAGTATATTTTCTATTGCATTGCTCTTAACTAGAGTTATTTACAGGTGTGTTTATCAAAAATTTAAGGTTATTCTAAGTAATCATTATGATTCTTCTTAACAAGGGATTTATGTGTTAAAATGTATTAATAAAATTTATTTAGAATTTTTACAACTTATTTAACATAAAACAAATATATGTATTCAAGATATGTAGGTGTCATAGGTATGCTTACTAATATTACCTATAAATGCAAAGGTGTGTTTGTCTATAAGTCATTTTATTAAACTTTAAAGACTAACCTGAACGGATCTTAGTGAAACTTGAAGATTTAAAACTACCTTATGAATTATTTTGATGACACATTGGATGGTGAAAATCGAGCACTTTTGCCAGAAACAGTCATTAGCGACTGTCTCGCCTATTTCTGTAACCAAGCAGCTTTCTTTGCAAACTCTACTCCGGTTTTGAAAGGTGTGATTTGGCAGTCAAATTACAAGGTATGAAATCAAAGCATCGTTCCTAAGGAGTGACCGCACAAGATCTAAAAAGAGAATCACAAGGACAGCAGGTTTCTTCAATTGAGAAGAACAGTATCGGTTTCATTTATATAGCTAAAACTGTTCTATATACCTACCTAAATATACACTACTAAGTTTGGCGCCATATACCAACCATTGACCAAAAGTCTAATATTAAATGCTTTTTTTAGCTTCATTGTCTTTTATGTTTGGAATTATATATATGGGCTGGATCTGGATTATATTTATATATATTTAAATAAAATATCAAAGCAAACGTTTATCTAATTTAATTTTATATGAGACAAGACAGTTGACATATTTTAGTTGCGCGCGCAGCTTCGCATGCGCGCTGCCTATACAATATATTTATGTACGTATACAGCCATATTACTCCCTTCCAGAGACCGTTCCTACGGGCGATAATAATCTGGAAATTTTACTATACGTCCTAATCTTGTTTTAGTTTTTATTTTTTCAGGTGCAGGCGTATCGTCGGAGCATTCAGGTGGAGTGCGGCTGCTGTCATCTAATATGTACGCTGGCTTTAAGCGATCGACGGATACAGTGACAGGTTTGCCTTTTACTATTATTTTGTATACTTTTTCAGATCTCTCTAGTACAGCATATGGACCGGTGTATGCAGGTTGCAAGGAAGCTCGTACTGCATCATCTCTTAGGAAGACATG